CCTGGAAACTGATCTGCTTGACCCTCATACGGGAGAATCGATATATATATATATGGTGTCCTATAATTTAAAAAAATGATATAGAGTCATAAATATATTTATTACATAGCTAATATGCAAGAGTTCATTTTATTTTTGCGGTTTCCCTCAGGTATCTGATATCTCTTTTGCTGACGGTTGGCCTCATAATGCCGTGGACTCCAACAAATTGCATACACAGTCGAACCATACTTCGCCAAGCAATGGTCCATCGTTACAGGCTAAAGGAAATTCCGATAGCATTTTTGGAGAGCGACAGGCGCCATCCGGAAAGATGATCCTGCGTGTTGTTACAAACTTCCGTGAGACAGGCTATTCCATCTGCGTTTGAAATGAGAGAGCGACCGCAAGAATATTCTCTTCTTTGTGATGTAATATTAAAATCGGAAATAATATATTGAACTTCTGTATATCATTTATGTAATAAATATACTTGGTACTCTATGTCAATTTTATGATCAAAGTTACTTAAAATATGTCCCATCATTATGACACACACACAGGCATATGTAAGCAAATATGTGGATATATGAGGCAGGCATAATATCTCACGCACGGTGAATACTTGACCCGGCTTCTTTAATATTTCCCCCTTTTCTGGCAAGATTAATGCTGGACAAACGTACTTATAAATTTTAGATTAAAATAAAATTCTTTTTCATTTAAAATATACTCTATTTTAGGAATAGATTTTCACAACATCGCCCACATGACGCCGACGTGATCGTATTGCGAAACGGAACGCTGATCTTAAAAATTTCAGTTATTCTGTTTTGATTACTCTTATGTCTATCGTCTTTTCATGTTGACTTGATTATCGTCTAATTTTAATTATGTTTTAATAACTATGTCCTGAAGAAGGTCTACTAGGCCGAAACGTCTGACGTCTACATTGAAACAATATTAAAACAGCATACTTGCATATTTTCGGATTTTTGTTTTTCCATATTTTTCTTCACACAGACATATATATATATATATATATATATATATATATATATAAGTTTAATTAGAAAAAAAAAGACAACCTTAATGGTCAATTGATTACATTTCCTCAGGGAAATGATTTTGTCCTGGTTCTCCAGATCATATTTCTAGGCATAAAATAAAATGGTTTAAAAATTTACATCTTTATTAAGATACTGAAGAGTAATGGAGGTGGGGTCACGTGCCAGACATGTGACCTATTTAATAAGTCATTTCACAGAAAAAGGAAAAAAAAGACAAAGAGAAAAAGTGAAGGAAGAGATAAAATATGAAAGAAAACAAATGAGAAAGCAAGGGTGGGAGGAAAAAAGAGGAAAAGGAAGAAAAAGAAGAATAAATTAACATATATAGGCATATTGCGGATAATTTTAAAAATACAGATTAATATAACTTACATTTAACGCTTGACATTATTATATTATTAATAACAACTAATAGTTAAAAATAAAATAATTATGCAAATATTTAAAATCTAAAAATTTAAAATTCAAAGTTTAAAAATATGAAACTTAAAACAACTTTAAAGCAGAGTCCAATAGTGTTATAAAAATTCCAGCAAGATATCTTTAATCATTTCTGCGATACAACGATTGAAAACTTAATCTAACAATTGGACAATTTTGCTGTTACATCTGGTATATATATATATATATATATATATATATATATATATATATATATATATATGGTTTTCTGTAAGAATGTTGTAATTTTGTAAGGGTGGCGTAGATATGGCACAAGGCCGAATGTATGAGTACCCAGTGAGGATCAAACTTACTATTGAGTCATAATTGATCTAGTAAGACAACCGATGTTTAATAATGTGAATATGAACGTATTTTCGCATATGCTTATCGTCATTCTCTCTTGTATACGTGTGAGTGTGAAGCCATATTTGTATAAGTTTGCGTGCTTGCCGTGCGTGTGTGTGTGTGCGATTTTGCGTACGTGCGCATTTGTGTATGTGTGTGTGTGTATGTCTATGTGTGTGTGGATACGAGTGCGCGCACGCGCGCGCGTGTGTGATTTTCATCACGAGTTCTGCTGATCGAACAGTCCCACCGCGTGATCTTATGCAAATGCAACACGTCACGTGATACGACGTCAGCGTTCGTGGCTCTGGGCAGATATCAGTTTCAATAATGCCATTTCGAAAAGTTTCTAAAAAAATGGAGGGAGAAGGGAAGGAAGAGGGAGAGAGTGAAGGCGGAAGAAGAGACGGCGAGGGGGAGAGAGAGAAGGAGAGTGAGAGAGGAGAAAATCGTGAGGTTCATGTAGAAGAGAGAAAAGGAGAGAGAAAAGAGAGATAGAGGAAAATCGTGAGATTCACGTGGGTGTAATAAAAATGCGTGTTTGCTGATATAAAAGAAAGAATAAGAGAGAGAGAGAGAGAGAGAGAGAGAGAAAGACAGAGACAGAGACAGAAAGACAGACAGAGAGACAGAGAGAGAGAGAGAGAGAGAGAGGATGATTTGAAAAAAAATAATAGAGAAGTCTGAAGCGGTAGATAATCACCCAAGTTGAAAAATTGATAGACGTGAGTGAAAGAAAGAGTCTAACTTGAAAATGAAAGATGGTAAATACAATTGGTTGTTGTAAAAGAAAGAAAGAAAAAAAAGACTTGTACTAAAATAACAATGGCTACTGTAGTTTACAGTTAAAGAAACAAAATATAATGACTCAAGCAAACAAAAGATTTAAAATAAATGAAAAACGAAAATTGGCCTCGTTATGGGTCTTCCCGTATGGTAGCCAGGCCTCACAGTTGAAGAGTCTTCGGGCAACAGAACTGTAGTTTTACAAAAGGATAACATGGGATGAACATGTGAGTAACGACGAAGTCCTGGTGAAAATGGAAACAAAGCAAAAAAAAAAAAAAAAACTTAAAAAAAAAACACTTATACTCGGAATCCGAAAGCGATAGTTGAAATTCCTAGGGCACATAATAAGAACATAGGGCTTGTAGAATATAACACTCACAAGGTGTAATGAAGGAAATATGAACAGAGGAAAGAAATCAATAACCTACCTAACGAGATTGAATAAAAGATTTTCAGAAGAAAGATTCGGAGAAATAGCAAAAAAGGGAAAACTTACTTAGAGTTGCAAAAGACAAAAGCCATGATCGCCTTCGTCCTAAAGGAGTACATGTTTTAAAGGTGAAACTGAGAGGCAATTTGACTATTTTATTGCAAACTAACAGCATGGCCCGGCGTTGCCCGTGCTTGATTCAAAAATCGTACGACTATTACAGCAATCGCTATCACTTGACTTAAAATATTTTTGCCCTTCCTTGCCTTTAAAGGAGTGCCCTTTGCCGTGCTGATATTGCTACATGCCTTACTTCTTGCCTATCTCACACTGCGATTTTTTATGCCTATCTAAACATTAAATCTGTTACGAAAAAAGAATTTTTACAAAACGATCATCTTTAAAAAGGACTCGTAACTGGAAAAACGAATGAAAAAATGTTAACAAAATAAATTTTTTTCACATCCAACCCAGTTCTGCGGAATCAGAATCAATGTTGAGTTTAAGCAAGTGAAAAGAGCCAATTTTAAAGTGCCATGCAGATTAAAATTTTTCCCACTTGTGACGAATGCAGCTATCGATTTTTTTTGCATGCTAGCATGCTAGTTAACATTCGTGTGAGTCAGCTGTTGGCTCTCACGCTGGCCAATAGAATCTTCCTGCCTATTCGTGGCAGCCAGCTATTGGCTCTCACCCTGGCCAGTACAAAATGGCCGCAAACTACATGAAAACTGCCGTAGAAGCATGAAAAAATCGATTATTTCCACTATGGATAGGAGTTGGGAAATGCAAAAGTCGGTCTTGTCCTTCTCGCCTAACTTGGAGCATGCGCATGTAAATTTTGTGCAAATCCGTCGAAAATTGCGGCCGTGCATTCACACACACACACACACACACACACACACACACACACACACACATCCTGCCTTTTATATATAAAGATATCCGTTTTTCACCGAATTTTGTCTAATTTCCTATGTTTTTAATAAGGATTGAAATAAATTAATATTTTAAATTAATTCTGACTGGCCTCCTATATGACAGTGAATGCTGGACAATCTCCTCGCAGATGAAGAGACTTAAAAAATAACAGATATATATTTTAACAGAAGAATGCTGAGATTATCATGGACTGACCACGCGAGCAACGAGGAAGTATTAAGGAAAATGTGAACAAAAAGAACACTTATACTTAGCGTATGAAAAAGGCAGTTTAGATTTCTAAGTCACATAAGGCGGAAAGAAGGCTTAGAAAGTTTAATATCGACAAGACATTAAAGTCGGGTGCGATAGAAGAAAGCAGCGAATAATCTATCTAACGAATGGGTGTAAATAGTCGGTAGGACAAGGATTAGGAGCGGTAGGAAGAAGAAAAATATGGGAAAGAACGAAAAGAATCTGTCAAGTACCATAATCACTCCGGTCCTGAAGGAACACAACACAGAGAAGGCGCAGCTACTTTTCAAAAATGCTTATGGCCACATCACATTGAAATGCCAGTTCCCATACGGTCACTGACGTTAAGCAATGTCCAGCCTGGTCAGTATCTAAATGGATGACAGCTTGGGTATACCAGGTGCTGTAAGCTTGGAAGTGCGGGTGGTGTAATGGATAATGGGTCGGAATTGTTAATCAGGGAGCCGAGTTCCAATTCCAGTTGGGCCCATTATTGTGTCTTATGCAGAAATACACTTGTTAGTGAGTTATTATTAAAACGGTGATGGCGAATGAGGTCTGTGATATAAATGAATGTCATGGCGTTAGGAAGTAAAGATTATAAGGATAAAGTGTAAGGATGGCGATTGATCCTTGACGCAAAAGGGTTAAGATTTTATGGTACGAGGAAGCACCCATGTGGGGGTCTGTTCCACAAAGTTGCAGTTATTGGGGAAAAAAAAACCTTTTCGAGAGAAACATTATTCTTATATTTGGAACATAGAGGCTTACGACCAAATCATGTTGAAACACCGGTACGCGTAAGATCACCGAAGTTAAGCAATGTCGAGCCTAGTCAGTACCTAGATAGGTGACCACTTGGGAAGCCAGTTGCTGTAAGCTTGAATGTGGGAGTAGTGTAATGGACAATGGCTTCGGCATTGCTAATCGGAAAGCCGAGTTCCAATTCCTGTTGGGTTCGTTACGCGCAAATGCCCTTGAGAAATGTGTGAATCCACCTCACCACTCTGTAGCTATGGGTCAGTTAATAAGGCTTGTATCACTAAAAACATTATCTCCAAGAATAAATATACTTACAATCTGAAAAAAAAATTCTGGCTTTAAATAACCTATAAAAGGGTTGACAATCCGTAAAAAAGGAATAAATAAATTTGAATATACTGGAAATGAGGCTGAATATCAGGACAGATCTGGTTCTATAGCCTTGGATGTTAACTGGTCTACCGCAGACAGAAATGGCAAGCCACTGCAGAAAGATAAATGATCGCCTATGCGTGTATCACGCATGGGACATAACTGAGTGACTCGCGTTAGGAAGTAAAGATTATGAGAATAAAGAGTAAGGATAACGATTGATCCTTGATGTAAAACGTTTAAGATTTTAGGGTACGAGGAAGCACACACGTGGGGATATGTTTCACAAAGTTGCAGTTCTGGCGGGGGGGAAGATTTTGAGAGGAACATTCCTCTTATATTTGGAACATAGAATCTTACGGCCAAATCAAAGTGAAATACCGGTTCGCATAGGATCCCCGAAGTTAAAACAACGTCGAGCCCGGTCAATAGCAGTATGTATGCGTGACAATAGTTCGTGGCACGCTTTTAGAAGATCGCACAGCACATTACTATGCCGCGCAATGGTGATTGAGAATGACTGGGTCTTACATAATGTTTTAATTATGCCTCTTCCAAATTCATCAGAGAAGCGAACGTGACAACTTCGGACGCCAGGTGCTCTAAGCTAGAAAGTTCGACTTGTGTAATGGGTAATAGCCTCGAAATTGCTGATCGGAAAGCCCATTTCCAAATACCGTTGACTTCGTTGTATTCACCTAGCCGCAATTAACCTTGGGAAAAGGTATAAATACACAACTTCTCCCTCCAGCTATGGGTTAATTAGTAAGACTTGTATCACTAAACTATTATTATCTAAAAAAATATCCAAAAATATTTTGACTTGAAATAACCCACAATGGGTTGCTGAACCATAGAAAACGAATAAATCTTTACAGAAAACTACAATCAAAATTCTCAAGTTGTGTTTTTCAAGGTTGTAGTATAGTATGCAAATTAGATAGACAAATATAAATAGAGAACAACTGGCGAACATAGGGTAGCTATGCCTAGCAAACCCGCTTTTTCTTCAGGACACGGAGAACTGTACTACGTCTACTAATACGCAGAGAGATATGCAAAGCATACCAAAGGTAAAACCTTTCATTCACTTATCTTATAGGAGAATGATGTTGCAGTCTTCGCATATATTTAATATGAATGGTTGATAGATTCCAAACCTTACATAATTAAACGGCTTTCTGAATGACAACGTGAAATAGTTTGACTATATGTTAACATACAGTTTTTAAAATTTAATAAGTACCAAAAATCTGGCATATATAGATTCCAGATGTGAGGTACGTCGGAATTTTATCACTGTCTCTATGTGCGGAAGACAAGAAAAATGGCTGCTAAATTAAAATGGAATGATGAAAAAAATAAAAATAAAATAAAATAAATGAAACAAAACAAACAAAAAAAACGTAAGAAGAAAGAATAAAAACCAAATAAACCGAATATGGCTCGTTGTCCAGCCAACTTCAGTAAATTTTATGATTTTTGACATCTATCCAAACCTTTGTCTTCATTCGCCATTAATCGAAACAAAAAAAAAAAAAGAAGCATTCGACTATGAAATCAACTCGCCAAATCTTGTCTCGGTTTGTTCTTGGGCTGATGATTATTCCAACAATGGCTACATCAATATCAGAATACAGGTTTCACCCGCTCTACGTTAGTAGTGTTCGTATGAAACATTTCCTCAGCTGAAATGACGTAAAGCGAATAAGCAGTGACCATGAATTCATATAGGAAAAAAATTAAGCGTTCCCAGACGCCTCAAATAAACTTGCTTGAGATTCTCAATTACACTGACATGCAGATTTATGGCAGACAATATGTAGAATTTATTGAGTACTAACAAAAACTGTATTTTAGAAAAAAAAATCGTATCTCTACAGTCGAGCACAATATTTCTAAACCTTTTAAAGCAACGGGACATTTAGGAGAAAATTAAAATATCACGACACACTTAGCAATTTTTAAAAAATAGGATACATTTAAATGTTATGAAATAAAACGATACGTTTAAAAATAGACATAAATTTGAAATTACCTTGTTAATTAAAGTATAAATATTAATTCATAATTCAATATACCTCAATGTTGAATTAAACAAAGAATGTTGAATATGTCAAAAAAGGTTAATATTAATTTATTTAAACAAAGGAAACATTTTAAACGTTATATTAAAGAAAATGAAAATACTTTTTAAAAATGAATACTAAAATAAAACAAAAAATAACATAATTGAATAATAGTGAAAATAATTATTTGAAAAAATAATAATTTAACACTTACTCATTTATTTAAGTACTAACATTGTACCATTATAACTTCCACATACACATCCTTTTGCAAATTAATTGAAACAACCGGTTTAGTGTCCTTTGTTTCAGCATTCGTTCAGTTTTAGAGTCACTGGACTGATAGGGTGTAATCGATTTCTATTTTTTCTTCAGATTTGGTCATTTTCAGTGGTGTGCAGTAATATTAATCTGTTTTCGGGGAGTATGATGAAATTTGTTTGATTTTGAAAAATATGGCGTCATCTGTCATTGCATTAGATTTTCATCACGCCCAGACACTACTGACACGACTGTCGATTAGTTGTCCTACGGACATTGTCTGCGATGAACGTTACTAGAAAAAAAGGGTACAGAAATTGGTAAAGATGCACGAACACACTGGAAAACCTTAACAATGAGCAGATCAAAGTAATATCGACTGGCTCGGAAATTCGACTGATTTAAATCAAATCCAAAATCTGTGGTCAATCTGCAAGGAACGACTTCTTGGAATGGTCATACAAAGTATTAACATGTGCACAGGGTCAGGTTTAATTGGAAAAATACGGAAAAAATGTAAATAATAACTTCTTTATTAGTTTTGTTTCAATTAATTTGCACAAGGGTGTATATGTATGAGCGATAATATTTCGTGGTGCACTTTTAGAGTATTGCGTAGCACACTCGTTTGCAGCGGCATGATGGCTGAAAATCACTAGTCTAGCATAATGTTTGAATTATGTCTCTTCCAAATCACACATTGAAGCCAACGTACCTCTAATGTCTCCATCGAAGCAGGCTGATATTAAAAAAAACAAACAATTATTTTCGTGTCAAGGAACGCCAAAAGAAATGTTCACATATAAAGTAATGTTAAATTCTATCTCTATTTACCCCGTTTACACACAAACAATGACGTTGGGAACTTGCATATACAGGTTGTCCATAAAGTTCGTGTGCACTTAAAAAAATTATAACTTTATTTGTGTTTGCGAGAGAAATAATTTGTAAAAAGGATTAGAAAGAAGTAAATCTATATTATTTTAAGGCTTTTTTTAAAGCATTTCACCCCAAGCAAGGCGGGAAGCCACTAGGACGCAAGGGGTTAGAGAAAATTTAGAGCAAGATCAGATAGAAGTGAGAGAGGAAAAGATGAGGAGAAGCGTAGATCAAGGCAACTGGAGATGTCGATTGACATTATACTTGAATAGCTGGAGATTATAGCTCTCAGGGAAACTGGAATAGGGAAGGGAGTTCCACAGGCGAGAGGTGCGAGACATGAAGCTATTGGAGTAGAAGAGACGGCTACATTTAGGAGTTTCGACAGTGAAAGGGTGAGAGCGGGATGTCAGCCTCATAGGGCGCTTGAAATCATGGAGTCTGCCATGAAAGTATTTGTAAAACAGACAGAGAGAGGCGACGGCGCGTCTTTGAGAAAGCGACTGCAGACGAGATGCCAGAGAAGGGCCAATTATATTGCATATCCGCCTCTGGAGCCTATCAAGAACCCCGAGGTAAACAGAAGGTGCCCCAGACCATATATGGCAGCAATACCCCATGCAAGGGCGAATTGTTGATTTGTAGATCTGGAGGATCGATTCCGGGAGAAAAATTTCCTGGTGCGGCACAGGGAGCCAACTTTCCTTGCGGTGGACGAAGCAATTGACTCAATGTATTTGTTCCATCTCAGATCAGCAGTCAACATGAGACCGAGCAGCCGCAGAGAGGTGCACTCGAGAAGTTGAGCGTTAAACATTCTAATTGAGGGCAGGGAAGGATCTCTGTGGTGATTAATAGAGAGCAGTTTTGCTTTTGAAGCGTTAAAGTTGACCAACCAATTCCTTCCCCAGTTCAGAACTGATTGGAGGTCCTTTTCGAGACGCAGATGTCATCCGCGTAGATGCCAACTTGGGAATTTATGGCGTCAGAAGGTCATTTATGTAGATAAAGAATAGAGTGGGGCCTAGGATGGAGCCTTGAGGAACACCTGCGTTCGTGGGATAGGAACTGGAGGAGAATCCGTTGAGAACGACCTTCAATTCACGGTTTGACAGGAATGATTGTATTAGGTCAAATAATCGACCCGTAATATCATAACCCTGGGGCTTGCGAAGAAGGCCGGCATGCCAAACCCTATCAAATGCTTTGGAGATGTCACGGCACGAGCTTCCCCGTTATTTTGAAGAGCTCGGTAGACAGTTTCAGTGATGGCCGTAAGCACATCAGCTGTAGATCGGGCAAAGCGGAAGCCATATTGCTTGTCTGAGAGCAGATCATGGGATGTGAGGTGGTAAACCACCTCGGTATTGATTAGGGCTTCGAAGACTTTGCCGAAGAGGGGTAGGAGACTGATATGACGGTAGTTGGAAGGGTCAGAGGGGTCGCCGGAGTTCTTTAAGACAGGAACAATCGAAGAGGACTTCCAGCAGTCAGGAAAACAAGATTCCTTGAGGCAGTAGTTGTATAGTTTCGAAAG